GCTTAGTTACAAATTAACAACAGATGTTAAAACTAGGCTGAACATTTAATGAGGAATGAGATATTTACATAGTATCAAAGTATTCCTTCACAAACTTTCTATTTATTACAATGAAAAAATAACTTTATCATCACTGGGGAAAAAAGCCGAGTGTTCCAAGTTCACATCACAAATAAGGGGAGAACCTGGCCTCCCCAGTGGGATTAGGGAACCCGAATCTACCAGGAGAACTAGACTCTTACTTTGGGGACACTTACAAAGGCCCGAGGTCACACGGCTAACAGAGAGTAATATAAGATTTTAATTCAGATCTGTCCGGCTTCAAAGCAGAAGTCATTTCTGCTTTGTGATTTTCCCTGCACCATTGATCTAATGGGTCTTGCTGGTCCATAACTGTCTCATGCTGGTGGAGGGACAGACCAGGAAGCAAAGACAGATATAGTTAGAAGTCACTGAGGCCAGATGTGGTGGCTCACACCTGTAATCCCAGCCCTCTTTGAGGCCGAAATGGGCAGATCACCTGAGGTCAGGAGTTCGAGACCAGCCTGACCAATATGGTGAAACCCTGTCTCTATTGAAAATACAGAAATTAGCCAGGCATGGTGATGTGTGCCTGTAGCCCCAGCTACTCAAGAGGCTAAGACAGGAGAATTGCTTGAACCCAGAGACAGAGGTTGCAGTGAGCCAAGATCATGCCAGTGCACTTCGGCCTGGGTGAAAGAGCAAGACTCCATCTCAAAACAAAACAAAAAAAGGTCACTGAAATGCCCGGGAAGGAAGAGAGCTGCCACATGGTTTGAGAGGTGGCACAATGATGTCCTAGCTCCTTGGGTATGGAGATGTCCTCTTCCATCATGTTTGTGTCCTGATGATTTTTTTGAATTTGAAAAAAATGTTAAAGGATCATCCTAAAAATTCCTTGCTTGTCATACAATGTACCGCGTTATAATAAGGATTTACTGCCAGATGCACTAAGTAACACACTAGATGTAGTAGAAAGAATGGGTAGCTAATTACATGGTCAATTGCTCATCCATATTTACACAGCGATATTACAGGATTATTTTCACCTTGCAAAACAAATCCATTTGGATAAATCAATATTATTTCCCCATACAGCTCTTAATCTCCACTCAGGGAAAAAGGTATTCAGAGGCAGGCAGATCTAGGACTCTTCTTAAAATAATTGGTGATAATCATATCCGAAAATAGCCCTTAAAGAACAAGTCTGATTAATAATTATTTGACAGTGATTGGAAAATATTACTAAAGATTTTTAGAGGGTTCCCGAAGAGGGTATATTAATATTCCTAATAAAATGTGATTTTTTTTTTTTTTTTTGCTACATAGAGAGGTCTTTTTGACTAAAATTTTTTTCATCTTTTAGTTGCAACTTAAGTCATTCTTTGCACTTGGTACTTGGGTTAAACTGAGCAGAAATGAATAGAAAATAAATGTCCTCTACATGGGCAAAGCCAGTGACTTCACAAATTATTCAAATGCTTGGTACCTACGTACATTTTTTCCCCAAACGACAGAGGTATGTCATTTATTTTAGGTGGCCATGGGAAGACATATTCCACTCAACTGAATTACATAACTAAAGTGTAAATTTTAGAAACAATTTGAATATAAATCTTCTTAAAAGATGTTATGCATTTCATTAGCTCCTTCAATGGAGTTTGCAGATCACAATTCAACTTTCTTTCTTTCTTTCCTTTCCTTCCCTCCTTCCTTCCTCCCTCCCTCCTTCCCTTCTTTATGTCTTTCTTTCTGTCATCTCTCTCCTTCCTTCCCTTTCCCTTTCCCTTTTCTTTTCCCTTCCCCTCCCTTTCCTCCTCCCCCCTCCCCTCCCCTCCCCTTTCTTTCCCTCCCAACTCTGGGCTTAATAACTGGTATTTTAAGAGACCATCTTGGCGGAGGATACTCAGAGTGAACGTGTGTCTCTCTCTGCACCGATTGGCCTCCTAAGTGTTTTTATGTACCTGTGATGATCCTGGACTCTTGCGCACCAGGATAATGGAGTGGATGTGGTGTCCCCCTCCCTTGGAGGAGCACAGCACTGAAATTTCGGCACTCAGGTGTCGGGGGAATGCCCAGGCTCAGTTCACAGTTGAAGTCTGAGTCGAGCCAGCCTTCAGTATGATAGAGAAACTCCAGAAAGAGGCCATGGACTGGCAGGAACTAAGATCATACCACAATGCTCCAGCCTGCGCAATAAGAGTGAAACTCCACCTCAAATAAATAAATAAATAATCTGTGTATAACTTTTGACTTCCCCCAAAATTTAACTACTAATATGTTACTGTTAACTAGAAGCCTTGTTGATAGCATAGTCAATTAATACATATTTTGTATCTTACATGTATTACATACTCTATTCTTACAAGAAAGTAAGCTAGAGAAAAGAAACTGTTATTAAGAAAATCATATGGAAGAGGAAATACATTTACTATTTATTAAGGGGAAGTGAATCATCACAAAGGGTCTTCATCCTCGTGGTCTTCATGTTGAGGAGGCTGAGGAGGAGGAGGAAGGGTAGGAGGTGGCAGAGGCAGAAGAGGCAGTTACACTTGGTGTAGCCTTTTTGGTTTTTTTAGAGGGAGCTTCCCTCTTGTTGCCCAGGCTGGAGTGTCTGGTGTGATCTCGGCTCACTGCAACCTCCACCTCCCAGGTTCAAGCAATTCTCTTGCCTCAGCCTCCTGAATAGCTAGGATTGTAGGCATGCATAACCATGCCTGGCTAATTTTTTTGTATTTTTAGTAGAGATAGGGTTTCTCCACGCTGGTCTCGAACTCCTGCCATCAGGTGATCTGCCCACCTTGACCTCCCAAAGTGCTGGGATTACAGACCTGGACCACTGTACCCAGCCCAGTGTAGCTTTCACTGAAAAACATCCATGTATAACAGGATCTATGCAATTCAAACCAGTTTACTTCAAGAGCCAAATGTAATTTTCACGTGTTGTGAAATGTTTTTCCTTTGATTATGCATTCAACAATTTAAATATTCTGAAAACTACCACAACAATCTGGCTAGGTGCAGTGGCTCACACCTATAATTCCAGCATTTTGGGAGGCTGAGGTGGGAGAATCACTTGAGGCCAGGGGTTCAAGACCAGCCTGGGCAATTTAATGAAACCCCTGTCTCCACAAAAAATAAAGAAAATTCACTGGATGTGGTGGTGCCTGCCTGTAGTCCCAGATGCTTGGGAGGCTGAGGCAGGAGGATCACTTGAGCCCAGGAGGTTGAGGCTGCAATGAGCTATGATCACACCACTGCACTCCAGCCTGGGCAACAGAGCCAGATTCTGTCTCTACAAAAAGAAGAAATCTTAGCTCATGAGCCATACAAAATGGGATAAACAGTATTGGTCTGCCAACCCTGCCTTAGAAGATGGAGAGTAAGCCAGACACCCAATGCTGGGACTCTTAATTGAGTGCAAGGGAGAAGACACAATCAAAAGGTGTCCCAGGGTCTGTCTGAGGAAGGAGTGACTGTCCCAAGTCTTGGGGAGTCCAGGGGAGCCCAGCCAATCCCATTTATTTAAGGGACCTCTAATTACTAACCACACAGAAAAGCTACATAAGCCGTCTTCATTTTTCCTTAGTATAACGATCTATCAAGACCCGCACATCACTCACAGATGTGAGGCAGGGATAATGCTTCTTGGTACCTCTGGATGTCTCTCTAATCAACCAAATGGCCCTGCACAGACAACGTGCCCAGAACACACATAGCTTCCCAAACAAACAGGGCTGCAGAAGCAAGCAAGAGCCGCTCCAGGGTCAGTATCTGAATGGTACTCGGTGGAGACAACCAACCGTTTCCCCAACTGAGATGTTGAAAATCGTCTCCAGCTCTCATTCCCAGTACCTGCTTCTTCAACTCACCGTCCCTTTGTTTATATCCTGTTCATGCCTAGAACAACTTCCTCTCTCCTTCCAATTTCTTCCAGCGTGTCTCTTCATTCATGTCCTATCCAGGTCTTGTATTTCCCATGAGATGACTCTCAGATACCTTGGTGTTTAGGACAGATGCCATTTGCTACAGTCACAAGCAATGGCAAATACACTGTGCATTATCTATCTGTAGCATCTACCTTGGTGTGTCGAACGCTTCAATAAATCTCTTCCTAATCACCTTATCTAGGCACCTGCAGCTTCTTCCTGAACATTGTCCTCCAAGAAACCCCAGTAACTTACTTTGATGTCTCCCTTCCCCTGCCATGCCCATGGGCAAGTTGTTTCAAAATATATCTTTAATTCATTCATTTCTCTCCATCTCTGTGATAACCTAAGCCACTCTAATCGCTTATGGCACAGTCTCTGCCCTGATCTCCCTGCCTCTACCATCTGTTCTGTCCCAGCAGGCCAAGTCATCTCCTTAATGTGCAAGGCAGAGCAGAGCGATCTGAGCCTAGCTGATCTCCTCAGCATCACTTACCTTCTCTTCTCTGGCTCCTGGTGCTCTGGTCATACCAGCCCCCACTAGATCCTCCAGCAGAACAATATTCTTTTTTTTTAATTTTAATTAATTAATTTTATTTTATTTTTTTAAGATGGGGTCTCACCATGTTGGCCAGTCTGGTCTCGAACTCCTGACCTCAAGTGATCTGCCCACCTTGGCCTCCCAAAGTGCTGGGAATACAGGCGTGAGCCACCGTGCCCGGCCTCAGAACAACTTTCTCTACCCTCTGGACTCTTGGATGTGAATTTTTTGTTTCTCTGCCTGGATCCCTAAATCCCTCCAGATATCCAGCCTCTACCTCAGCAGTTCCCAATCTTGTTGGCACCAGGGACCAGTTTTCTGGAAGGTAATTTTTCCAAAGACTGATGGTGGAGGGCAAGGGAGTAAGGGATAGTTTGGGGATGATTTAAGCACATTCCATTTATTGTACACTTCATTTCTATTTGTATAAGCCAGGGTTCTCTAGAGGGACAGAACTCACAGGATAAATGTCTATATAAAGGGGAGTTTGTTAAGGAGCATTGACTCACATGATCACAAGGCGACGTCCCGCCATAGGCTGTCTGCAAGCTGAGGAGCACGGAAGCCAGTCCAAAGCCTAAAGCTGAAGAACGTGGGATGCAGTGGTCAAGGGCAGGAGAAAGACGTAGGCCAGAAGACTAGACAAGCATAGTCCTTCCACATAACTGTGCCCGCTTTTATTCTGGCCGCGCCGACCGCTGACTGGATGGTGCCCTCCGAGGTTGAGGGTGGGTCTGCCTCTCCCACTCCACTGACTCATATGTTCATCTCCCTTGGCAACAAAAGAGATAAAGAATATGTGTTATTATACAACGTAATAATGATAGTGTGATGGTTAATACTGAGGGTCAACTTGTTTGGATGGAAGGACACTGAGTATTGCTCCAGACATGTCTGTGAGACAGAGTCTCACTCTTTTGCCCAGGCTGGAGCACTGTGGCATAATCTTAGCTCATTGCAGCCTCTAATTCCTGGGTTCAAGTGATTCCCGCACCTCTGCTTCCCAAGCAGCTGGGACTACAGGTGTGAACCATCATGTCTGGCCAATTAAAACTTTTTTTTTTCATAGATAGGAATCCCTCTTTTCATACCCTCTGATTGCCTCCTTGCGCCAGTGATCACGTAGTTTTACTTCAAAAGCCCTGAAATATCTGGGAGCCTCCCAACTTTCATGCCAATAAATCTACTTTATTTTCTATTTTTTTTCCATCTTTTGACATTAAGCCCAGGGATGGCTGAGAGAGATCCCTCCTGGTCTCTGTCTCTAGGTTTCATTTAATATTTATATCTGTTCGTGAGAAGAGTGGAAACTTCAGGGAAATATATAGAGCTGCCTATTACTTCCAAGCCAGGTGTGGAAGAAGAGAGAAATGGAGTTACAGGCCAGTGTGGAAAGTACTCCTATATTAGGCTAAAGTCTTTATTTATGACAGGAACAAACGGAAGTCGAGGGTTGACATGATCTGAGGCCTTAGCAGAGAATGTCTGTTTTGATCACCTGTCTTAAGTCAACTTACCTGTCCGTCTGCAGGGTGCAGGGACCCCTGCCGCCCACCCCCATCCCCTTCACAGCCATAGTCTTGCAAGCTTGCAGTCTGCTGCTGTCCAAGTCCAAGCGCTCTTTGTCTAGCGCTTCTTATTTCTAGTTCTCTGCTCATCTCCTTGAGTTGATAAACTTCAGCAGCTCTGGGTTTTGTGACTGCTGTTCCCTCTAGGTTGGATACGCCCACACATTTGGTTTTCTCATCCCAAGGAACTTTGAGAAGCCTCTCTGTAAGATAGACACCTGGTCTGGAAACTGTCACCACGTCCCGCCTTGAAGTATGCTGGTCACAAAGCTGCTGTCTCTTAGCTCTAAAGCCTCCCTTCTAAACTTAGCTTTGGACAGGACTCTGCAAACCACATTTCTGCTCCATGAATGGGCTCCTTATGAAGCTCTGCCCATAAAGGGCACTAGCGGAAGAATATCCGGCTGGAGGAGTCAGGAGGTGCTGGCTGCTTCGCCTGGTTTTGTTAAGTTAGAGAAATAGAAACGTAAAAGAGACAGAGCCGTGGGGATGGAGAGAGAAAGCTGGGAGGACAAGCAATGGAGGTCATTAGGCCATTGCTGCTGTGTGGATGAGTCTTAACACTTGTTAGGGGAGGGGAGGCCTCTGCTGACTTCCAGCAAGATAATACACCTGCCTGGTGGCTAAGCTGACCTGTGGCAGAGCTCTGTGGACCACTGAGCTTCCACCTCACCTTGTGAAGAGCTGTGTGTGCAAAGCTGAGACATTGCTGTGAATGACATAGAGACCAGAGCAGGTGCTAGCTTCTGAGTCCATGACCAGCGAGAACATAAGCCGTACTCTCACACATGCTCATGCTGAGCTTGGCGCAGGAAACCCCTTCACCCCAATCTCATGTCCAACGATGCAACTGGGTTCTACTGGTGTATCAGTCAGGGTCCAGGCAAAAGAAAGAAACACACCAATCATTTGAACAGACGAAATGGAATATGAGGAGTTAACCAGGCAACTAAAATGGCAAGAAGAATATTACAGGGAATAGCAATGCGAATACATCATCATTGCCGCCCTCTGTGGCTAGGAACGAAAGGAAGAGTTTGGAATGGTTGGAACGTAGAAGCTGGTCACAAAGAACATAGTATGCTGGACCTCACAGCCTGAGAAAGGGCGTTACAGACTGGTTCTGGTGCTATCCATTTTGGTGGCAGGAGTGGGAGGACAATTAAGTGATGAGGCGAGTTCCACAAAAGTTGAAAAAACCACTAAGTAGATTCAATCATTGCTACAGAAACGAAATGCCGCTGCCAAAATGAAGATGCACTTCTGGAATAATTTGCACACACAGGAACAGGAAGAAGAAAAGCCACTGGGATAGAAGTACAAAGTAACATAACTGGTGCTGTGTCTAGGCTGAGAAAGGTTGTGAGTTGTCACCAGTAATTAATTGCTGTCCTTCCTGGTAGAGAGGAGAGGGGAATATACCTTTACAAATTCAGATCCTACTCTTAGGTAAATAGGGAGAGGGTAAAGAGCTTTTCTTTCCCAGTGGTCTTCCCTTATCCATGCGGGATAGGTTCTAAGACCCCCCCCCCCAACACAGACTGGATGCCTGAAACCATGAATAGTACCAAACTCTATATATGCTATGTTTATTCCTATGCATACACACTCATGATCAGGTTTCTTTTATAAATTATATATAGCACAATGGACTTTGGTGCCATTATTAATTAACATAAGGGTTACCTGAAATCTAAGTACTGTGATATTGCAGCAACTGATCTGATAACTGACACAGCTGCTAAGTGACTTACAGGTGAGTAGGACAGACAGTGTGGCTATGCTCGGCAATCACACTCACATCCCAGGTGGGGCACCATCATGCCACTCAGAACGGTGTGCAACTTAATACACAGGAATTGCTTATTTCGGAAATGTTCCTTTTAACACTTTCGGGCTGAAGTTGAACATGGGTAAATGAAAACACACAAGGTGGCCAGGCGTGGTGGCTCATGCCAGTAATCCCAGTACTTTGGGAGACTGAGGTGGGTGGATCACCTGAGGTTGGGAGTTTGAGACCAGCCTGACAAACATGAAGAAACCCCGTCTCTGCTAAAAAACACACACACACACACACACACACACACACACAAATTTAGCCAGGTTGGTGGCACATGCCTGTGAGCCCAGCTACTTGGGAGGCTGAGGCGGGAGAATCACTCGAACTTGGGAGGCAGAGGTTGTGGTAAGCTGAGATCGAGCCATTGCACTCCAGCCTGGGCAAGAAGAGCAAAACTCTGTCTCAAAAGGAAAAAAAAGAAAACACAAAAGGCAAAACTACAGATATGGGGGAAACTCCTGTATCTGCTTCTTCTCAGGTGCCTTCTGCTCAAAAGAATCCTTATACCAAAGCGGCATGTTTTCAGGGGGCACATTCTGCTACCCTTCAAAATGTCAAAAATAGCATCCCTGTGGCTATGAGAACATACCCTTTGAGAACTTGTTTGAGAATATGCAATGCAATATTAATATAAGGAAGGAAAATTCTGGCTACAAATATGACACCCATGGAGAAGGTCATGTGACTTTTGGGGCATTAAGAGCTCTCGGCTCGGGCATGGTGGTGCATCTCTATTTTGCAAAAATACAAAAATTAGCTGGTGCGGTCGTGTGCACCTGTAATGCCAGCTACTCGGGAGGTTGAGGCAGGAGAATTGCTTGAACCCGGAAGGCGGAGGTTGCAGTTAGCCAAAATTGCACCACTGTACTCCAGCCTGGCAACAGAATGAGACTGGGTCTCAAAAAAAAAAAAAAAGGTGCTCAGCTCAGCTCCGTGGGGCAGAGATGATGGGTAAGAACCCTCGTAGTCAGCTGGGTTTGGAGTGTGCCCTCCATTGAGACCATGCATCTCCCTTCTTCTTCAAACAAGAAAGAGAAGAGATACTGCAGTGGATGAAATGTCTCTGACATGTAAGGGCAGGTGGTGACTCATGTCGTTCGTTACACACACAGCAGCTGGGTGTGATTGCTCTGCAGGTGGCGGTACAATGACCATAACCAAGGAGGATATAACAAGGGGATTTTATTCCTTGCAACAAATAAGGAGGATACCAGGAAGGGCTCCCCAAACAGTGCCTCCTCTAACGAAGCTGACAACGCGGCTTTTGCTGGGCTGGCGGGCTGAGTCATTGTGTGTGAGGTGGAGTCAGGGCAGTGCAGGTGCAGTGGCTGGTCACACTTCTATTTATGTTGCATAGACAGAAAGCAGTGCTTAAGCAGTGCTTAAGCTCCTTCCTAGGTGGAATTTCTAGTGTAATGATGAAGGGAATTGGCCAATGCTCAACTCAGGCATCTCTACTAATTTTTGTTTTACCAGGGTTGGGGTTCTTTTTTTTTTTTTTTTTTTTAATGAAGTCTCACTCTGTCACCAGGCTGGAGTGCAGTGGCGCGATCTCGGCTCACCGCAACCTCTGCCTCCCGGGTTCAAGTGATTCTCCTGCCTCAGCCTCCCGAATAACTGGGATTACAGGTGTGGGCCACCACGCCCAGCTAATTTTTGTATTTTTAGTAGAGACGGGGTTGCACCATGTTGGCCAAGCTGGTCTTGAACTCTTGACCTCCAGTGATCCACTTTAGGAGGCTCAGGCCTCCTTAAGTGCTGGGATTACAGGGGTGAGCCACCATGCCCGGCCCAGGATTGGGCTTCTTTCTGGAACTCTCCTGAAATAACAGAACTCCAGATGCAGCAGTCATCAGTGGGCAGTCTTTGACAGTGCAGACCTGAGACCCAAGCTCTGAGTTACCATGTCAGTGTTCCAACTCAGGGGCATCTCTGAACAGACAGTTCCCCAAAGGAAGCAGCTTGTGGTCTGTGTGAAAGATCTGGCTGCACACATTCAAAACAACAGCCAGTGATTCCTGACCCTGTATGATTAAGTGCCGTGCCCTCAGCATTGATGGCTGAAGGCACAGTTAGTGAGATACACAAGTTAGAAAGAAAACTTGCTGAACCTCGTAGTCAGCAGGAAATGGGAGTTAGAAGGGCCTTGGCAGGGGAGGAGAGGGCAGACTCAAAACTCAAGGGTGATGAGGAGGTGGGGAGGTAATAAAGACAAGCCAAGGAAAATCCTTCCTAGGAATTGAAAATCAATTGGTAAGTATTTATTGAGTTCATACTGTTTTCTCAGCACTGTGCTAAAAGGCTGTGGATGGTCAAGAGCTTTCAAAGAATTTACATTCTGGTTGGGGAATCAGTCAAGGCTAG